CTTCGAGGCCGTTGCTGAGCTGGTGGGTGTCAAGGAGCAGGCGGCGAAGGCAGTTGTCCTGGGGACGCTGTTGAGAGGCCGAGCGAAGGCTGCATATGACAGCGTAGACAGGTCAAATGGCACAGCGTCTTGGAAGAAATTGGTTGAACGACTAGTGTCCGAGTTTGACAGCGAAACAGACAGACAGCTAGCAATGCAGCAGTTCCGGTCAATGAAGCTTGGACCTGATGGAGACCCGCTAGTGTTGGCGGTGAAACTGACTAATCTACTTCGACGCGCGCTTCCCACTTTAGATGAAGAATCAGAAGCGCAGTTACTGTCTTCCCAATTCATCGAGAGTGTCCCAGACCACATTTCTCAGCGATTACAACTGGTTAACGCAACGCAGCCGATGGATATTAGTGAGCTGGCGAAGGTGACCAGACAGCTGCTGAGCACAACGGTAGCCGCTATAGACCAACCAAAACCAAACGAATATGAGCAAAAATTGAAGCATTGCAGCGGGAAGTGGCGGCGTTAAAGTTGGCTGATAGAAAAGACCGGTGTTTTGAATGCGGTAAGCCGGGACACTGGAGAAGATACTGCCCAGAAAGGCGAAAAAGAAAAAATTTCAGACGGTATAATGCTTGTTCTTTTTCTCGTATGAACCTAGATTTAGTGGGGGCTATTGAGAAAGGGGCTCTGTATTCGAAGTTGCGAGTGAATGATCGAGAAGTAGTATGTTTGATAGATACAGGGGCGGCCGTGTCGTTAATAGATAAGAATTTATGTAAGAGTGTTAGTCCGTGTTCATTGACAGTACAAACAGTAGGCGGGTATGTGTTGCGTATCACGGGTAGATCGAACTGTACGGTCGTTGTTGGTGGCTGCGAGGTGACGTTTCCTTTCATTGTTGTACCCGAACTACAGCGAACGATATTAGGAGCGGATTTTCTGCGTGAGATTGGTGCAATAATCGACACGCAAGCGAACGTTGTGGTCACGAAATACGGGCATATCAACATGTATGAGACCAGCGAGATAGCAGCGATTAAGCTGTCGACAGTACACAATGTGACAGAGTTAATTAATAAATACGATCATCTGTTCACTGGAGATGGGACCCATACGGTTATTGCGATAAGGTGAATCATGAAATTCCGTTAAGTGATCCGAAAGTAAGGTCATTTTTAACGCGAAGAGTTCCATGTCATCTGGAAGGCGAAGTGGAGCGACAAGTGCAAGAGATGTTAAAAGATGATATTATTGAGGAAGCTGATAGCCCGTACAACTCTCCAGTGCTGTTAGTAAAAAAAGCGAATGGGAAGTATAGATTCTGTGTTGATTTTCGACAGTTAAACAGTATGACAGAGTTAAGACCGTGTGCCATGCCAACAGTGGTAGAAACCTTAGATCGCCTACAAGGTGCGAATGTGTTTTCGGTTCTCGATCTTCGCTCAGGATACTGGCAGATACCGATAAAACAAAGTGATAGAGATAAGACGGCTTTCATCGTGGGTCAGACACAATATCGATTTAAACGCATGCCGTTTGGACTAGCAGGTGCACCGTTTACGTTCAGACGACTGATGAAGCTATTACTTAGGAACTTGAAAAACGTGGAGGTTTATGGTGATGATCTCGTCATATACAGTCAGAACGAAAACGATCACGTCAACCATGTAGAAGCCGTGCTGCGACGCATCGAAGAGTTTGGACTACGCGTCAACAAAACCAAGTCCCAGATAGCCAAAAAGAATGTTACTCTGTTGGGACATAAAGTGGGAAATGGTGAGATTAAACCACTGCCGGAGAAAATTTTGACGATTAAAACGATTCCAGCCCCGAATTCAAAGAGAAAACTGAGACAATTCTTGGGTAGAGCAGCGTTTTATAGTCGCTTCGTGAAGAACTTCAATGAGATAGCAGCCCCTCTATACAGGCTACTAGGTGAGCCAAAGTTTGTTTGGTCGGAAGAATCGCAGAGGACATTCGACAGAATTAAACAGCTGCTCGACCACCAACAAATGACGCTAAAACTACCTGTGCCAGGAAGACAGTTCACAGTGTGCACAGATGCCAGTGACTACGCTATAGGTGCGGTCCTAAGACAGGACGAGGGAATCGTTGAGTATGCCAGTAGGGTTTTGACCCTCACAGAGAGAAAGTATTCAACGATAGAGAAAGAATGTTTAGCAATGGTATGGGCAGTCGACAAATGGAGACCTTATTTACTCGGCCGGCGGTTCCACATCGAAACTGATCATAAGCCGCTACAATTTTTGAAGACAGCGAGAGACCCACGGGGGAAGTTGTCACGGTGGATGTTGCGTCTTCAGGAGTACGATTTTACGATCTCACACGTTCCTGGAAGTGAAAATGTCTTGGCAGATTTGTTATCGAGACCAGAAGATGAGTCTGAGTTGCCCGAGGTCGCTTACGGAGTGCATGCAGTAGAACAAGACCCACTAAGACTTGCACGTAGGCAGAGGTTGGACGATACGCTGAATACAGTAATACAGGTGATCACCAACGGAATAGAAGTGGATCAAACTACGGCGAGTAAGGAGCTAACCACACTACTCAGACAGAGGGATCGACTCAGAGTGAATGCCTACGGGACTCTGACCTGGCGAGAGAACGACGGAAGCTGGCTGGCTGTCATACCTCAATCGTCGCGCCACGACATGATAGAAGAATGTCACCAGCTAGCGCATACAGGCGTGGCCAGAACGACCGACCTCCTAAGACAAAGTATGTACTGGCCAGGTATGAGAGAAGACGTAGCAAGATACGTACTTGGATGTCCACGGTGCCAGCTGATGAAAGGTGACCGGTGCATACGACCACCACTTCAGTCGATTCCAGTTACCGCGATAGGTGACTTGTGGTCCGTAGATGTCATGGGTCCATTTCCTCAGACATCCAATGGTAATCAGTACCTCTTGGTGATGACGGAACACGCGACACGATGGGTAGACGCCGTAGCAATCCCAGACCAACGTGCAAGAACCGTGACAGATGCAGTAGTTAGACACATTGTTGCAGACCACGGCGTACCGAAGACAATACTGACAGACCAAGGTCCCTGTTTCGAGAGTGAAGAGTTTACTTCCCGTTTGCAACAGCTGGGCATCAAGAGGATCAGAACGACCCCATACCATCCACAAACGAATGGCCTAACGGAGAGAAACAACCGTACACTGAAGGAGTGGCTGGCCTCGAAGGGCGGGAACTGGGAAACGGAGCTTCCACTGATTTTACTAACACATCGGGCTACCACTCAGGAAACAACGAAGAAGTCACCCTTCCAACTGATGTATGGTAGAAAACCACGATTACCGGTACACAATGAGACCTGGCCCATGCACCAAAAGTGGAGTACGACGAAATTAAAAGCAGAGAGGAAAGAGGCAGTCAAGAATGTAATACGGAAGCAGCGCAGTGATGTCGCGAAGTCTCAGATGAAAGAAAGGACGCAGTGCATTACCTTTGCAGTCGGGGACCAAGTGAAGTGTAGAGACAGGAGATATACAGTTGGAGGCGGGCTAGGTTCACGGAAACTCCTTCCAAAGTGGGAAGGACCATACACAATCACAAAAAGACGGGGTCAAGTATATACCATCCGAAGAGGTGATAAACAGAAACGAGTTAACGCCAGTCAGCTCCAAAGATGGGTACAGTGGGACAAGCCGGTCAGTAACAATCCTCAACTAGAGGATGTAGCACCCAGAAGGTCGGAACGTCTGCGCACAAAGCTATTTGACGGGGGGACGAGTGTGGTGAGAGCAGGCTGCTAGCCGATTGGTTGACACTAATCTACGTTAATGTCTAGGTCACTAATATGGGCCGTGAGAAAATATGAACAAGGCTGTTTCAACAACCAATCACAGCAAACTTAAACGTGGACAAATATGATTCGCAGATAGATGGCTCTACTTTCCGAGAAATATCGAAAACAACCAATCATAAGACTGTGTTTGTCTGCTTGCATAAGCCTTATTGATGTACATAAAGTATATATAAATACGTGTTGATTTTCGTAATAAATCCATCTGTTGCCAGCCCTTGTCTTCTGTTGTTACAGTAGGAGCAGAGTATTCATTATTGACATCTTCATATGTAATATATAAATCTTTAGCAGTTTGAAAGGTACAAGAAGGAACCTGAATTAACTCTTTCTCTAACTTAGGAATATTGATTCCAGCAATTAAACGATCACGTAGTTGAGTATGCAGCTGATGGAGCAAATGGAGAATTCTGGAAACGACCTCGGCACCATAAGATGCAGTAAAACAACCCAACATGACCTTATCTAGTTTTCGCATCCACGATCAAATTTCTTTCCTGTTATAAAACTACGATAAGACTACTGAAAAAATGGAATAAATATATCACTGATCTCAACATAATACATCAATAATCTTTAAGCCAAGGGTGCTGTTCACAACAAAGTTATATAGGAGAATTGACTTCAAGCTTTATTTTTCCCAGATATTTGTATTACATTCATCTGATGTCTGGGTTTTTTGTTAATGCGAAGACAATATTTCTATATCTCTTTATGTGCTACACAAACAAACTTTATAGCAGACTGTTCCGACTGACTTTGATGTCAGAAAGAACAACCAAACTGTAAATCCATTATACATCAAATTTTGTGTAATTTATATAATAACTTATCCATGCCTGTACAATTGGTATGTTCCTGCATAAACAGGAAGAAATATATTACTATTATTATCTCCAAAATTACACTTTGAAGCTTGTGTTTGGAGTTGAAGAATAAAGTCTCTAATCTTCTGGTTGGGAGAACGTACCAGTTTGTTGGACTGAGCCCTCTCTCTGGTCTCAAAAGTAGTTACATGAATGTGATGTATCAGAAGTTCACGGATCTTGTCATATGACAGAGAAATAGGTTTATCTGGAAACGCCAGATTGTTCACTAGGCTATACGCATCTAGCCCAATAGTAGTGATGAAATGTGCTGGTATTTTGTCATCCCGAACATTCTTTGAAATGCACCACGCATCGAAGCATTCCAAATAATCAGCAATCTCCCGCAGAGACCCATTAATGGGGAATTTTCCCAGGTTATTTAAATCCTGCTCGCGACGCCAATTTGCAGTAATTTATTGTAATCGGAATATTAGTATTTCGAGATGACCGAATTACACGAATCCAACCAAAACACAGAGAGGGCAGAACTCAGGAATTTGTATTTAGCGGAATTATTCTGCAATTCATATAAGAAACATATCAACAGTCAACAGTAAGTATTTAAACAATACAGAGATAGAAATTGTCAAACACCACACATGATTAACTTATCATACGAGGACAGCCTAGACAGTTTAAATCTCTTCTCCCTGTCATACAGTATGCAGAGAGGAGATTTAATCACAATATTTAAAATTTTTAATATTGACTACGGACCTGACCTGCCCTCTCTTTTCTCTCCCACCAAGTTGGAACACCTTAGGGGACATAGCAGTAGAGTTCAAAAGCCAAGAAGAAATCATCTCGCTGTTGAGTCCTGGTTCTCACACCGAGTCATCAACTCTTCGAACCGACCCCCAGAAGAAGTGATGTCTGCAATCTCCACTGATTCATTAAAAAGGGTTTGAACAACCAGAGAAATTTACTAGAAAAGGATTAAAGTAGGCTCCAAGCCTTCTATCCTCAAACAATAAATCTGAATCTAAAAGCATCATTGGATCTTGCGTTTTGAAGAATAAGTTTCAATTGTTGCGTTACAGCACATGACTTTAGTTCATCGCCTAGAAAATATGAGTTCATTATCGTCACTAGACGAAATATATGACGACTTTGACCTTTCCGGAAGTGATGATGAAAATAATAATTCGTCTAAGTTGTATATGCAGAAGTTTCAGAACAAAGTAGACTTCTCAATGAAAAGTGAAAGACAAATGAGGGATAAAAGCGACAGAGCAACAACAGATCATGCTCTTGATAGACGATCCTGCTCCATACTGTTCAAGATGATGAATCAGGGCATATTCACGGAAGTAAATGGCTGCATTAGCACAGGTAGGCTTTAAAACGTTAATGTGCTGAACTTCTGTATATGCATATGGTTATTGCTAAGTTAAAGATTGGGTCAGATGGTCATAACCAATGAAATTGCACGTATTAAAATCTCTGTTTCTGTATCATTTAAGTAAATTATATCACTCTCGACCATGTTTACATCATGTAATATGCTGATGGTTGAACTACATTTTACAGCATCGTTTTCTGCTAGTTAATACTTTTATCGTTTATTTATACGTCAACTAAGATTTCTTCCATACAGTTAAGCTTAGGGTTCTACAGAATATGAGAATGGATGTTAACATTTAGTTCAAGTAATCTAAATAGTTCCATTCAAATATCAAGATATTCTTGGGTTGAATTCATTTCCAGGTCAGAATTCGTATTTTTACTCAACTTTCAACGTTTGTCACCGATGATATTCATGAAGAAATCCAGGAAAATTTTGCAGAAACATGGCGTAGGGAGGTGGTGCACTTGTTGGGTGCCTAACATGTCTATAAAATGTGAGCTTTTGAGCTGAGTGTTGAGTATCTCTGAGTACTAAACCATTCACACTTTATTAGGATTGCTTGAATTTCGCCGTAATACTCTGCAATTAACCCCATGATCTAGGGAGTTTGTATTTTGATAAAGCAGCGGTACTCTTCCAATAAGTGATATCATATTGGTGGTTTGTAGGTATTTTCAATGTTACCTCGGAGGTTTTCAAACAGTTCACTGTTGTTTGGTTATAGGATTGGTTTAAAAAAAGTTGAGATGAAACTTCTCGTTATAGTGTTTTAAAATGTATGATTATGGTGATTTAAGATATACTAATGTGCCACAGCTTCATATGATCGTGAAATCATGCAGCTTAGTAGCTAGGGAAGTTAGCGGATGTCTTAAAACCCTTATAGGGAGTATTTGTTCTGTAATTGCCTTTATTGTGCTGCCGAAGCAACAAACGTTCTTCTGAATGTAATTTTTGAAAATATTTACGTTATTGTTATTTAAAACACAACCGTTTTATTATTATTGAGTTTACGTATCAAGATAATCCAGTGAGCTTTACTAGCATGAATTGTTTTTGATGTTGCAATAGTACCAAAAAGTTTGACAGAGGTGGTGAAATGCAGGCATTTGTCGTCTCATTGAGAATTACAGTGGTAAGGGCGAAGCAGGCGAGGTGCTTCCTCCAAGTAAACCAGCTATACTAGCTTGACATTAAGGAGGTCGAGTGGTGAAAGTTCATCTCGAAGGCTTTCTTTCCCAACTTATTCTACTGCTGTCTGTAACAAGTAGTTACTTTTCTCATATATACAAAAGTTCACATATTCCACCATCTCTAAACAGTTTACGTGGACCGGTCTTACACGAAGTACATGCAAAAGTAGTTTTTTAGACACTTATATAATAGGTTAACGTTTTTAGGTAGTCAAGAAGTTTAATTTGCGTGTAGCATTCGCAGTTTTTCCACCTACACTTCAACATTTACATTCTACATCTTCTACAGTCTCTCCCCACTGTTGATACCGTTTTTCTTCTTACACTTTCTTCAGCTTCCCATAACTTTGTAATCTTTGAGTTTAGGTAGCGAAGCACCGCTTTACCAACACCACATTAGGACTTTCAAGTTTCGAATTCTATTCCAAGTCGGAGAAGCAGAACTATGAATTCCTAGGCTATAGGTGTTTGTTTCTTCTCTACGGCCGGTAAAATGTCTAAATATGTTGATACATTCAATCACGCGTTTTCAGTGTGATAATGAAAAATTCATCTTATAAACATCGGGAGACTGTATAGTTAGTTATCATGGATTTTCTGGTATACAAATAGAAGTAAATTTTAAAGCAGAAAAACTCACCACTCGACTTGGTCCTAACAGGTAGGGGTTTGTATGCTTTCCGAACAAATGGATCTGTAAAAAAGAGGAATTATAATATACGTAGATGTCTTTCTTTAGTCATAGCTAATGCATCTACAGGTTGAGGATCAAGTTTAGCAAAGGACGAGTTTTATCTATGTCCGCCATATACTTTGCGAAAAGCAAAACACTAAAATATGTTCATGTTAGCCTGTGATTCTAATACTCAAGTAAGAAAGTTAAATCAATCGGAAAGGCACATTTTAGGTGTTTACGGAGTGTCGTGTAGACAAACGAATAATGGGGATGTCCTATTACAGTCTAGTGAAAATAATCTGTTCTTAGCTAAAGCTAAATTTTATGCAATAATAGATATTGTTTCACTTGAAGGCTGTCAGCATCAAACTAACAGTAGGCAGAGATAATTTTTTTGTTATATATATATATATATATATATATATATATATATATATAGTGATGTATCTCCGTCATGATATAATTACGTATTTATTTCCTGTATGTTATATTTCAAAGTGTGATAACTCAATCACTTTTTATATCAACTCCTGTTTTTGTCATCTCCTATCATTCTTAGTCTTTGTATTTTCTCTTCATATCACTGGGATATTATTTTGTGTTGCACGTCTATTGGTGTTTCTAATGCTTTTTGTTTTCAATCAAATTAGTGATGTTAATATTAGCAATCATTCTTTACTTATTTTTATGCTGCTCACTATTTTAGACATATGCCTTTTCATCTATCACTGATAGGCTTAAATGTGACAATGTTTACTGATGTTAGGCATAATTACCTGTCACATTTTTAATATGACTTTTAGTGCATTATTCAGATCTTCACACGATTGATAACTTACTGTGTTTCAACATAGAACTTTGCGCAGAAGTGCAACAGTTCGAATTGTCACAATGCATGTAGCACGCAAAGGTGGACAAAAGACCTCTGCTTTAGACTCTGTACCTAGATGTCTCTTGCTAAATAAGCTGTCTATGACACAAACCGAGTCCTGGGTCACTAACTGGTTGCATTCCTACTTCTTTAACAGAATGTAGTATACCCTATACAGAGGTAAATCCTCCTCTGCTGTGCTCACTGAAGCTGGTGTCCCCCAAGGTGCTGTACTGCCCCCACTCCTCTTTTCTTTCTTTCTACATGACTTACCATCTTCGAATGACATTAATTTTGTCAAATATTCTGATGACCTAACTGTATCTTTGCCTGTCAGATGTCAAAGTGACTGCTCCAAACTAAATGGCTTTTTATCAGAAGTCAGCCAATGGTCCTACGAAACGGTCTCACCTTAAACCCTTCTAAATGCCAAACAGTTAATTTCACCTTTAGGCACAAATCTGACCTAAACAAACTGGTTAGCACTCACGAGTTTTGCAACATAGATGGCACTGAAATAGAGACCAAGTCGGAAATTAAATACTTAGGGGTTACTCTATCTTCCCATCTTTCCTGGTCGTCTCATATCTTGACGATTTCTAAGAAAATATTCCCTCTTACCTTCTACATCAAGAAGTTAAGACATTCTGGTATAACCCAACCCTTAATCCTACAATTCGTTAACTCTTGCGTCCTGCCTATTATTCTCTATTGTTCCCCCTTAGTTTTTCCTGGGCTACTGAAGAAAGACTATACCTTATTACGCAGGATGTTAAAGGTTGTCAGCAGGGTAAGCAACGTGCCGCTTTGCCAGCTTGTTAATATTCTGGTTGACAGGCACATGGACTCATGTGCAAAATGGGCAAAATCCATTTTATCTAACTCACACCACCCTCTTCATTCACAACTCTCCCCTTGTATCTCATCAGGCAAAACCAGAAGCCTATATGGAAAACTATATGCTCGCACTAGCAAGTATAAAAACTCAACCATACCCTACTTAGCTCGTGTTCTGTGCGATAAAGAAAGCATTAGGCGTGATACCTATAACTTATTAAATAGTCAGGAGAACACAATTGAATCTCGCCTTTCCAACTCATATCATTTATAGGTGGTACAACGTTTTCTTTATTTCTTTTCCTTTTCTCTCTTTTTGTTGTTGTTATGTGTTGCTTTGTTTCTTTCTTCTGCTTACGCCAGTAAATATGCTACCATCTACTTCAAACACAAGGAGCGACACTGTTTGACTTGGAGACCCCCTTCATCAAACCAACGCTGGACACAAATAGACCACATAGCAATAAGCTATCGTTGGCGTGGGTCGGTAGGAGATTGTCGCTCCTTCTGGAACACGTGCGTAGATACCGACCATGCACTGGTCCGCGCTCGGGTGTGCTTACGACTGAACGGACGTAGGAAACAGCTGGCGGTAAAACCATCACGTCCCCAGCTCGATCAGGAAACTAAATCCGTATTTGAGGAAGAACTAGCTAAACACATATCTGTGTTCGACAGCTGTGCTCACCCTGAAGAAGCTTGGAAAAATATCCAGGCAGCCATAGATACAGCTGTAAAAGCTGTGAATAAGGTAAACCCAAAGGTGAGTAAAAACCACTGGATCTCCACCGCCTCATCCGAACTGATAGATGCTAGAAGACTTATTCCGGCGAGCTCCGAATTCAATGAGGAGCGAAAGCTGCACAAGAGGAAACTTACGAAAAGTCTCCGCAAGGACCGTGAACAGTGGTGGGCGACAAAAGCCAAAGAGATGGAGAAAGCTTCGAGGATAGGCAACACCAGGCAACTCTTTGGACTCATCAGGGAAACGGGTGGGAGAAGACAAATCATCAGTGAGACAATCTCGGAAAAAAATGGCACTATAATTAGCTCACAGGATAGACGACTGGATCGTTGGAAAGAGCATTATGAGGAGCAGTTTAATTTGCCCACAGCCACGCTCAACCTTCCGAGCATCCAACACCTCCCTGAATGGGATATAGACACAGGTCCTCCGTCACTAACTGAGGTTACTAAAGCTGTCACCAATCTGAAACTAGGCAAAGCAGCGGGACCTGATGGAATGACGCCAGAGGTATTTAAGTACGGTGGAGACAGCTTACTGTCTGCATTAACTGAGGTACTAGGCAGCGTCTGGGAATCAGAAGAAGTCCCATCGGGTTGGTGTAAGTCACTGATTATCCCCATATACAAGAAGGGAGACAAGTCTTCCTGTGATAATCACAGAGGGATTAGCTTGACTAATATAGTATCTAAAGTCTTAGGCTCAATAATCATGCGTAGACTAAGTGGTGCTCGGGAGGCACAAACACGAGAGAGCCAGAAAGGCTTTAGACCAGGGATAGGGTGTATTGATCATATCTTCACCCTCCGACAGATTCTAGAACATAGGAATTCCTACCGGCGTCCAACAGTCATTATATTTCTTGACCTAAAGGCAGCATTCGACTCTGTCGATCGGGAAGTTCTCTGGAGATGCTTGGCTGTAAAGGGAATTCCGAGAAAATATATTGCACTGATTAAGGCACTCTACTCGTACTCATACAGCCAGGTGAGGGCTTACGGCGAGCTGTCATCTGAACTGATGACGACCAGTGGTGTCCGTCAAGGATGCCCATTATCTCCTTTTCTATTCAACTTCATCATAGATGTGTTAATGGACTTAACCCTAGGTGACTTCAGCGACTCAGGGATTGACTTGCTACCGGGGAATAATCTCGTTGACTTGGAATATGCAGACGATATAGTCCTTCTAGGCGAAGACGCTGACGAAATGCAGAGTCTTCTAAACACCTTGAGCCGCAATCTACGAATGTTTGGCATGCGATTCGCTCCCGCCAAATGCAAGATGATGTTACAGGAATGGACTACATCGACGCCTAGTTTAAAAATAGGAAGTGAAGTGGTAGAGCACGTTGACTGCTTCACTTATTTGGGAAGTACCATCAGCCCCAACGGGCTGATCTCTGACGAAATCTCAGCACGAATACAGGGGGCTCGTTTCGCATTTGTTAGTTTACGCCGACTCTGGCGTAGACGAGATGTTCGACTATCGACCAAAGGGCGGGTGTACTGCTCATCAGTCCGCTCCGTCCTCCTTTATGGTTGTGAGACCTGGCCACTCAGAGTGGTAGACATGAAAAGACTAGCTGTGTTTGATCATAGGTGCCTGCGCTCTATTTCCCGTGTAAAGTGGCATAATAAGGTGAGCAACATGGAGGTTAGGCGTAGAGTTCTAGGTAAACAGGGGAAATCTATCGACGAAGTCGTGAAGCTACAAAGACTGAGATGGTTAGGACATGTGTTACGTATGCCAAGCCATCGCCTCCCTCGACGAGCTATGTTAGCGGATATAGGGTCAGGCTGGAAAAAAGCTAGCGGCGGTCAAACAAAAACATGGCACCAGTCAATGAAATCCACAACAGTTGGTCTAAGCCACGTAGGAAGGTGTAGACTTCCAGGCTGGGGTCCTCGGGACGGTAAAAATCTATGGTTGGAAACAATTGGTGACATGGCTCAAAATCGTTCTCAGTGGCGCAGATGCATCCACTCCTTGTGACTTATGATTTCCAATGAAACTGTTTTGTTTTTCTTTATTACTCCTTTGTCTCACACCTCTGCTCACTGTTTCTATTATGCTTTTCTTGTACTTTCTTCTCTTGCTTCGCGTGCTACACGGAGTGTGGCGACTTGAACTTCCGCACATTTGTGCAAAGTTCTATGTCGAAAACAGACAGACAGACAGATCTACTTTTCTAACACCTTCAAACACTGTTCAATTTTTGGCTTTGTTACCAGCATACCAATATTTTGTTGTCATTATGTACTGAGATCTCAATCTATGTATAATTTTATTTATTGATAGTGTACTAACTGGATGCAATATACTGTAGTGAAATGCCGAGAATTCCATTCTGTACCACAAGTACTGTTTTGGAATAAAGCAAATTATTATTATAATAAAAGAGACATCCATAGAAACCATAATAAGCATAATTGTATGAGAGAAGAAAATAATGACATTGAAAAAGAACGGTTTAATAGATACGGCAGATCAAAAGCAGTGAGTGTATCTTTGCCTCTGAGAGCAACATTCGACCATATCACTAATAGTTTGCAGTCACTGGTTCTATACCCATGTAGTTGAATCGAATCAACTGTCAAAGACATCATAGATTGATTCTGGGTTTTGCTTTGACCAGCCTTAACTCTTTTCCAACCCAACGGTATGTCAACTAACACTGCTCGTTGAAGGAGGCGGTGACTCGGTATGTTCAACTCGTGTCATAGTCATCTCAGTCAATGTAACTTCACAACCTAAACAATTGACTTTGCTTCCTTGCCTAGTACTCTATGTCTTAGCTCTACACGGTTGATGCCAACATTTTTTTCTGGAATCCGTGTTGTTAGCATTCACTTCATTTTTGTAGATATATACTTTCTTTCATATATATAGCTTCTATTTATTAATTCTTAAATTTAATATTTAACATAGGCAAAGAAGCTAATATATATCATGTGAAGAATGGTGATGATACTGATCTTGCTATCAAAGTCTATATGACATCGATAATGCCATTTAAATCTCGTGATAAATACGTGAAAGGTGATTTTAGAATGCGACATGGATATTCTAAAGCAACATCATGGAAACTTGTTTGTAAATGGAGTGAAAAAGAGTATCGTAATCTGCTTAGAATAAATCAGTCTGGTTTGATAAATGCACCGAAACCGTTACGTTTAAAAGGTGTTGTCTTGTTAATGACATTTATTGGAAAAGATGGTGTTCCTGCTCCAAAGTTGAAAGATGTTTGTCTAGAAGAAGAAGAAGAAGAAAAAGGAAAAGAAAAAATGGATGAAGGAAAAGATGACAAACAGACTCCAAATTGGTCTGGTTTATACTCTCAAGTTATAAATGATATCAGAACACTGTTTCAAAAGTGTCGTCTAGTTCACGCAGATCTCAGTGAATATAATCTGCTTTATCTTGACGGAAAAGTATGGATGATTGATGTATCTCAGGTGAGTTTTATGTGTTTTATCGTAGTGAAGAGTACTTCTTCACAATGTACTAATTGTGAATGGTAAAATTCAGGCGTAAATGTATGTCACTGTCTATTGTTGTGAATACATTAGTGAAATTATATTTGAAATCTACTGGAGAAAGTGGCTCATTGAATCGCTTTTTGCACACTTTCTGGGCCAATTACTCAGCAAGGAATAAAAATACAGAGAGGTATGTTTGTTTCAATAGCACAGATATTGAGAACACCACAGTTTATGACTTCTAATGATGTTTCAAACCATAGATAATAAAGGTTGGTTAAAATTCAGTTGTCAATAATGCGGTTAAGTTAGTTTTACCTTAAAAGAAACCGATTTGGATAAGTATCAGTCTTAATGATAATGATCACTGACGAGATCTTAACATGGTCAAAGGAGGCTTGTGTGACATTTGTCAACTTGCGCCATCTGTGACGTAGACGTGAGATCCAGCAATTGAACAGAGGATGTGTATACTACTTAGCAGTATGCTCGTCCTCTTTTATGGCTGTGAGTGAGACATTGCCAAAGGTGTCTACGTCCTATGTCGTATGTTAAGTGGTATAGTAAGGTGAGTAATATTAAGGTTCGACGTGGAGTGTTAGGTAAGGAGGGGAGATCTGTCAATGAGGTTGTGAAGTTGGATTACTTTAGATGGTTACGACATGTGTTACGTATTCCTAGCCATCGCCTTCGTCTACGGTAATGTTAGCTGTCATGAGATTAGGTTGGAAAAGAAATGGTAGTGGTCAGACCAAAACATGGAATCAGTCAGTGAAAACATTTGACAATTAGTTTAAGCCATGTACAAGGATGTAAAATTCCTGGTTGAGGTCCTGGGGATGGTAAGAACAAGTGGGTGGGGGATAGGACTCGAAGTCGTTCTCATTAGCACAGATGCACCAACTCTCTGTCTGTATGTCTGGATTCAACATAGAACTTGGCACCGAAGATCAGCAGTTCGAGTTGCCACATTCCAAATAGCACACAAAGGTAGACAAGAAGATGGGTGAAGAGAATTAATAGAGTTTGATAGGTATAAGAGTGAAACAGAATGGCTAATGGTAGAAAGGAATATGAAAGATTACAGAGACTGAATACATCTGCGCTATTGACAACGATTTTGAGCCATGTCACCTATTGTCTCCAGCCATTGATTCCTAGAGTCAGTCCCGAGGCCCCCAATCCGGGAGTCTGCATCTCCCTACCTGACTGACTCAGTTCAACTGTCAAGGATTTCATGGATTGATGGCATGTTTTTGTTTGGCCACCACTTATTCTTTTCCAACCTGCACATATATCAGCTAGTAATGCCCGTCGGGGGAGGCGATGGTTAGGCATGCGCACCATGTGACCTAGCCATCTCAATCTATGTAACTTTATAGCCTCGTCGATTGATTTTCCCTCTTTCCCCAACACTCTACGCCTAATATCAACATTACTTACCTAATCATACCACTTAACGTGAGAAAGAGATCGTAGACATCTATGGTCAAAAACAGCCAACCTTTTCATGTCTTCAACTCGTATTGGCCATGTTTCAGAGCCATAGAGAAGGCCGGAGCGAACTGCTGAGCAGTACATACGTTCCTTGGCTGATAGCCGGATGTCACGCCTACGTCAGAGATGGTGTAAGTCAGCGAAAGCAGCTCGAGCTTTTTGGATCCGTGCTTAGACTTTGTCGCCAATCAGTCCGTTGGCGCTGATACAACTTCCTAAATAGGTGAAGTGGTCAACATGTTCTATAACTAAGCTAGGAGTTGACATAGTCCAGTCCTGTAGCAGCATCTTACATTTTGCAGGGGTGAATCGTATGCCGAACCTATGAATATTGGTGCTCAAGGTGTTCAGAAGACTCTGCATTTTGTCACCATCCTCCCCTAACAGGACTATGTCATCTGCATATTCTAAGTCCATATGCCTATACCCTGGTAACAAGTCGATTCCTAAGTCGTTACGTTCAGTTAAGGATACTTCCATTAGCATATCTATGATGAAGTTAAACAGAAATGGGGAAAGTGGAGATCCCTGTCGGACACCACTGGTTGTTATCAATTCAGATGACAATTCCCCATAAGCCCTTACACGACTACGTGAGTTTGAATAGAGTGCATTGATTAGTGCAATGTACTTTCTTGGCACTCCCTTCACAGTCAAACATTGCCATAGTACCTTTCGATCCACGGAGTCGAAGGCCACCTTCAAGTCAAGAAATATGGTAATTGTTGGACGCCGAAAGTGTGTCTATGTTCTAGAATCTGTCGAAGAGTAAAGATACGATCTATGCACCCTCTACCTGGTCTAAAGCCTGCTTGATTTTCCCTTGTCTGTTCCTCCCGAGTTCTGCTTAGTCTATGCATGATTACTGAGCCTAGGATTTTAGAGACTATGTTCGTTGGGCTGATCCCCCTATGATTATCACACGAGGACTTGTTTGCCTTCTTGAATATTGGTATAATAAGTGACTTACCTTAGTCTGATGGAACCGTCTCTGATTCCTAGACTTTGCCTAGTACCTCAGTTAATCTACAGACTAGTATGTCACCTCCGGAATAATTCCGTCGGGTACTGCCGCTTTGCCTCGTTTCAAACTACAGATAGCTTTTTTGACCTCACTTACAGATGGCAAACCAGTGTCTATATCCCATTCGAGTGTGTGCTGGATGGCAGGGAGGTTCAGCGTGGCTGTAGGCAAGTTAAATTGTTCCTCAAAGTGTTCTTTCCAGCGTTCAAGGCGTCTATCCTAAGAGCTAATTATGATGCAATTTTTCTCCGAGATTGTTTCACTTATGATTCGCCTTCTCCCACCCGTTTCCCTGATGAGTCTAAAGAGTTGCCTATCGCCGATGCTTTTTCCATCTCTCTCTCTCCAACTCTCTGTGGTCTACCATATCCAATAAAACCCTATTCTTTCCACATGTTACTATTCTTTATCCCTCATATTCCTTCTCTTTTATCTTCTTTTGTATGTTGCATGGAATGTGGTAACTCGAAATGCTGCACCATTGTACAAAGTCCTATTTTGAAACCAGTCAATCATTTTATAGGATTTTCGTCAGCTGCACAAAGCCTGAATAGCCAAATAGGTAAATAATTATTCTGGTATACTCTAATCGAAGACTTGGACGACAAGTGGAATAATTATCTATATCATTGCATTCTGTTTAGATAACTTTTCTTTTTCACGATTACATAACCACTTCAACCTTCAGACTCGAGAGTAATCCTGTTCATACATTGTAAGAACGTATCTGTTTTGGTTCTGATCTTCAAAAGTTGACAAACTTTCCCCCTTAAAGTATGTTAAAAATTGTACCACAGTGATTACTCATTTCATTGCATGGATTTTATGCAGTTGACTAGAACCCAGTCAAATAAAATGAATTTATCTTTTACGGTCGATGATGACATTCTCATTGCAATATAACAAATTGTGTTGATCAGCTGCACTTTAATGTTTTTCAAGTTTTGATCACGAACTGACTTTATTCAGAGGAACACGGAAACCCATGGCTGCACTAGACAGCTGTCTCGTCCTAGTTTGGCACTCTTCATCAGTACGCAAACTAGAAACCGTAGTCCTAGTCCTACCAAGTAATGAAATCACTTCACAATCATAAGTTAGTGCATAAAGACAAGACTTTAAGAAGTTTTAAGTACACGTAATGCAGGAGGTTTGAGTTACTCGTGTGCGAACATTTTAGGTAGTGATAGTATACAGTATAGCCTACGCATTGGTATTATCTTTTTGTGCAACATGCTTTCTTAGTCAGTAAACCTTCAGTATCTTTCAATCACATACTTTTTGCAAGATGTTTTTTTTTGGACCTTATTCTATTTATAGGCTGTGGAACACGAATCTCCGCAAGCGCTTGAATATTTAAGAACTGATTGCCATAATATAAATACCTTCTTCCGAAAGCAAGGTGTCTCAACTTTAACATTGCGGGAACTATTCGAATGGGTTGTGAATCCCACACTGCCTTCACCTGATGATCCTTCTTCAGTAGAATGTTTAGCATCTTTACTTCGAGAAGCATCAATTCGTGGGATGAATGAAACTATGGAGAAAGAGGATGAAGCTTTTAGATTTGTACATATTCCAAGGAATTTATCAGTATCATACCCATTTATAAGGGATTTCCTTAAGTTACAACGTGGACAACTACTACCATCTGACATTTATTATGCAGCTATTACTGGGTTGAAATCAGACTTAACAGGTGCCGCCGCACAGCCATCACCATCTGAACCAGTAACAGAAAACAAAGAACCTGAATCAGATGCAGAATCTGTATCATCAGAAAAAGCTTCAGTTTGTTCAGATGCCGCTTCAGAGGCTACGAAAGATGAGAAGACTAAAGTAAAAGGTGCTCCACGACCCCGAAATGAATCTCCAGAGAGTCGCAGAAATCGGAAGAAAGCGATTAAACAAGAACAAGCTGAAAATAGAAAGCACAAAATCCCTAAACATATCAAAAGACGTAAAATAAAAAAGTAACTTTAGAAAAAAAGCTGTTGTTGTGAGCTACAGATAAAGTCTATAAAGGGTATTTTGGTGGGGACAGTTTAAATATTACCTTTCTTAGGTAAAAGTGTATAGTACATGAGTGCCTTTGATCACAGTGGAATATCCCGCCACTTATATGCTTAACTGTCACTTCACTTTTTTTGGCACCTCTTCTATGCCATAGACTATCACTCTGAATGACATCGGGACAGAATCTAGCGTAACTCCACCCACAACAGGAAAGCATCTGTTACGTGCCACCCATTACAACTGACGGTAGATCCCTTGACTCAAACATTGGACTTGACCTTTCATCTTGGTCGATGTGACCACCGGCATTATTGATTTGGATCCCTAACAGCACTATTAGTTATTAGATGGTTGGAGGCAATCGGCAGGAAGCCTTGGACCTATTAGTTGCCTGCCATACAACTTCCTTTCTCCAGTATTGTCAAACACAGGCCTCCTCCATATAGCTGGCTTCATTTACACGGGGATTGTTACACACTCCTGAAAACATTTAGCTTATAATATGTGGGATGTACTTTCGTCCTTTTTCCCATTTTTTTTCAGTACTGACACCTTTACTGATCATAGGTGCCTGCGTTCTATTTCCCGTGTAAAGTGGCATAATAAGGTGAGCAACATGGAGGTTAGGCGTAGAGTTCTAGGTAAACAGGGGACATCAATCGACGAAGTTGTGAAGCTACAAAGACTGAAATGGTTAGGGCATGTGTTACGTATGCCAAGCCATCGCCTCCCTCGACGAGCTATGTTAGCGGATATAGGGTCAGGCTGGAAAAAAGCTAGCGGCGGTCAAACAAAAACATGGCACCAGTCAATGAAATCCACAACAGTTGGTCTAAGCCACGTAGGAAGGTGTAGACTTCCTGGTTGAGGTCCTCGGGACGATAAAAACCAATGGTTGGAAACAATTGGTGACATGGCTCAAAATCGTTCTCAGTGGCGCAGATGCATCCACTCCTTGTGACTTATGATTTCCAATGAAACTGTTTTGTTTTTCTTTATTACTCCTTTGTCTCACACCTCTGCTCACTGTTTCTATTATGCTTTTCTTGTACTTTCTTCTCTTGCTTCGCGTGCTACACGGAGTGTGGCGACTTGAACTTCCGCACATTTGTGCAAAGTTCTATGTCGAAAACAGACAGACAGACCTTTACTGATACAATATTAGGCAGTTTATAAAATTTGAAAAAAATGGTCTCCTTTTCCATAGTTATAAATATGTCAATATTTAGGCAGTCCTAAAATTGCATAGAGCTTCAGTGCGATGCTATAACTACGTACGATAAAAAGTTAATTCCTGTTTGGTGGTCAGCAATTTAAGACTTAAATCCTTACCAGATTACAGGCTACCTTTAATAATGAATCAAAAAGATATACACAGATTAGCAAAAAGTTTCTTTTTCTTCTAAAAATACTCTTTTGGTGACCTTGTAAATTAAACACCACGTGAGCATATGTATTTCTTCATAATCTAATCAGTGAACAGTCCAATTATTGAATTCCTGTGACGCGTAAATAAGAGTAGGTGGTGATCAGGAAAAGTGTATGTGCTTTTAAAAATGTGTGGGCGGTTGTTACTTTTCGTCTGCCTGAACGCTTGTTCATACTAATATAAGAAGTACAAATTGTAAGTAAAAGCAAGTCAGTTTATTCATACATAAAAGATACAATCGTTTAAGCTGCTGTTTCCGTTAAAACACCATCATCATTGTCATCATCACTTAATTCTATATCATTAATATCAATAAACAGGCGTTCATCTATTTCAACAACTTCACCACCATTTGTTTCTAAGAATGTAAGATCTGAATCATCATAATGATTATCCTTTAAAAATAATTCACGTCCAGTTAATCGTTTATTGGTTTGATCGTCTGTTATAATTTTTTCTTTTAAAGCTTCCATTTCTGCACGAAATTTGGCATTCCATTCTAAAAATGATTCAACAGTAACACGATCGCCTTTAAATTTCGCTTCTTCCTCCAGTAGGGCTGCTTTTCGTTTCTCTTTAGCTTCATTACGTTGACGGATAAGTATCTTTTCACAAATACTATCTAATTTTTGTTGAACATCTGTTAAGATATCAAAAAGCATAACATAGCCAAGTGAACGTTCAATTACTCCATCGATTATAGTTTTAATATCAGAAATATCTTCGTCTGAAATATTTTCTGGTTTAAGTAATTGATATTTTGGCGGTTTGTTTGGATATTTATCTGGTAGTTCAAAAAGAATTTGACATTTAATTTTAGTTAACAGTGAATCATCTGATTGTCCATCTAAGTATACTTTAACTTTTCGTTTTGGTGTAGACTGAACAAGTTGATATCTATCTTCATAAATAGACTCTAAAGCAAGCAATTCATTTTCACAGTCTTCGGAGGACATCTAGGAAAAGCAATAGAACAATTAAGTATGCTAAGGAAACATTATAAACACAAAAATAAGCACTTTATATTTTAGTTGTACAATACCTGGAGTCAAATAAATTCTCAGGGAATATATATAAAGCATGATATTAGTTATCTGCGACATTTATGAGTCAACCGTATCAAAGTGGATGCTCACGAATAGCATCGGTCGATGACAGCGCTGTATGAAAAACTGTTTAAGTTACAATTCACGGGTCACTGAACTCCGGGCGAACTCTCTAAGTAGTTAACGAGCTTGCTGCCGTAAGCTAAAGATCTCCGGTTTAATTCCTAGTGGGTTCGTGTATAGGCAATACTGAAGAGTCCTAAGCTATGGCGAAACAGCTTCCCAGTACTCCCTGGTGGTTTTTAATGATTCTCTAACTAACGAAATCTAAATATCTATGTGTTGTTAGAGCAAAGTCATTCTTTGAAGTCTTGATTCATAATATCCTCAAAACAGTCAATTTAAAATATGTTTAGGAAGCTTGATTTTATTTCCAAGTACTTCCACAGGATGAATTAAAGTTCCCGTAGTGTTTATGTGTAAAACTACTTGTTCGTACATGTTTATGATTGCCAATCATACCATCAAGTAGTGAAGTTTGTGTTTCTGATGAGCTCAGCACATTTTACTTCGCGTCGATAGTTAAGAAATTACATGCACTATATAATAAATGATAGTACGTGGAAGTCTTAAAGGTTATGAGAAACAGTTGACATATTCGACTGCTAGATGAAAATTTCCCACCTAGAGATACAGCACTTGAGCATTACGCTAACACTTAGGTTTTGCTGTTCACTTCGCGTTACAGCACTGTATCAATGGTTAAAATTAATATGCATATGCTTGGAAAAAATATTGGACAAAACCAAATATGTTTAGGAAGAATAAGTGAATTCTGTACGTTTCCTAGGTGTTGAGGTGCAGTGTAAAACACCGGCAAAAAGTTGTACCAAATAAATGATAGTGCCTTATCCTTACCTTGAGTTAGGAAATAAGGGAATCTGAGGATTATTATCAGCCACCACAGCATACAGTGCAGATTAAAGCTAAAGCCTTTTGAATGAATGCTATAATCGTTTCGGCAGGTCTGTTGATTGTTTTGAATGTGATATATATTTCCGACCGTAGCAGGATATAGGGCGGTTACTTTATTTTTAATATGTGCGAAAGGCAGGCGGAGAACTTCGGAAGACAAAATAACGGGCGCGAGTTTCCACTACTCTTGTGAAAAGCAAATAATAACTTTTAGTCTCGTTTTATAATAAGAAGGGGAGTGGTAACGTTTTAGTATGTCGTATTCTTAAAAATTGCATAGATGAGTAATCGAATCCTTTTACGACTAATCACAAATCGTGCTGCTTAGTAATTCTCACAAACAGCATATATGACTTCAGCGGATCGGAAATCGACTCGTTACCAGCGAATAATCTCCCCGATTTGGAATATATAGTCTTGTTCCTAGGTGAAGACACTGACAAAATGCAGTCTTCTGAACGCCTTGAGGAGCAACAGTCCTCGAATGTTCGACATGCGATTCGCGCCCGTCAAATGTAAGATGGTGCTACGAGACTGGGTAACTGTCTCTCTGTCTGTTTTCGACATAGAACTTTGCACAAATGTGCGGAAGTTCAAGTCGCCACACTCCGTGTAGCACGCGAAGCAAGAGAAGAAAGTACAAGAAAAGCATAATAGAAACAGTGAGCAGAGGTGTGAGACAAAGGAGTAATAAAGAAATACAAAACAGTTTCATTGAAGATCATAAGTCACAGGGAGTGGATGCATCTGCGCCACTGAGAACGATTTTGAGCCATGTCACCAATTGTTTCCAACCATTGGTTTTTACCGTCCCGAGGACCCCAGCCTGGAAGTCTACACCTTCCTACGTGGCTTAGACCAACTGTTGTAGATTTCATTGACTGGTGCCATGTTTTTGTTTGACCGCCGCTAGCTTTTTTCCAGCCTGACCCTATATCCGCTAACATAGCCTGTTGTCGAGGAAGGCGATGACTAGGCATACGTAACACATGTCCTAACCATCTCAAAGTCAGCTCCTCGACCGGGAATCGAACCCGGGCCTTCCACGTGACAGGCGGAGATACTCACCACCATACCACTATACTGGGTTGCATTGACTCCTAGCTTAAAGATAGGCAGTGAAGCGGTAGGGCGTGTTGACCTCCTCACTTATATGGAGAGTTGCATCAGCCAGCCTCGGCCGGTTGATCGCTGACAAAATTTCTGCACAGATACATAAGACTCGTTTCGCATTTGCCGACAACTTACGCTATCTCTGGTGTACACGTGATATGTTTTATTTTTTTTCCGCTTGGCTATCGACCAAAGGGTGTGTGTATTGCTCAGCAGTTCGCCCTGGTTATGTGACATGGCTGTTGAAAGTGGAAGACATGAAAAACCTGGCTGTCTTTGGTGCCTGCGTTCTATCTCCCGTGTTAAGTGGTATAATAATGTGAGCAATAATGATGTTAGGCGTCGAGTGCTAGGTAAGGAGGGGGAATCAATAGACGAGCCTGTGAAGTTACACCGATTGAGATGGCGAGGACACGTGTTACGCATGTCTAGCCATCGCCTTCCTCGATGGGAAATATTGGCTGACATTTGATCAGGTTGGAAAGGAGCTAGTGGTGGTCAAACGGATATACGGCATCAGTCAATGAAATCTACAATAGTTAGTTTAAGCCAGCCATGCAGGAAGGTGTAGACTTCATGGTTGGCGTCCTTGGGACTGTAAAAACTGATGACGGCTAGAAAAATGGTTCGAAATCGTTCTCAATGATGCGGATGCATTCACTTCTTGTAACTTATAATTTCCAATGGAACTGTTTTGTTCTTCGTTATTACTATTCCTTTGTCTCGTATTCCTGTTTACTGTCTCTGTTATGCATTTCTTTATGGAGTGTAGCGACTTGAACTGCTGCACATCGGTGCAAAATTCTATGTCGAAAACAGATAGAGAAGCTTCCTGTACTTCAACGAGAGTTGGAAGACTGATATCTACTTCCCATTCACACTGGACCAGGTTACTATGCTTACTGCTGAAGGTTATAGTTCGTTTTAACCGTTTATCTCTACCTTTGTTTGCTACATGGAGTATGACAACTTTGGCTGCTGCACTTCATTGCGAAGTTTCATGTTTGAACTAATTGAGTGACTTTAACCTTCAAAATATAGCCTGTCACCTCCACCTGCTAAATGTTTATGTTGTTGGTTCATCTAAGCCTCGTTTGGAGATATAGACTGCCTGGCTGACTGCAGTTCTAAGAAGGGTAAAAAAGAAATGGTTGGAGATAATAGGTGATGTGGCTCAAAATTGTTCTCAATGGCACAGATGCACTTATTCTCTGTGATCTACTATATCCAATAAAACCCTATTGTCTTCACATGTTACTATTCTTTTTCCCTTATATTTCTGTTTTGAATTTCTCTTCTCTTGCTTTGTGTGCTACATGGAGCTTAGCAACTCGAACTGCTGCCCATCTGCCGGTCAGTTATGTGTCGTCGACTGAATGATTGGTTTCAGTATAGAACTTTGTACAGAGGTGTACAGCTAGCCTTTTCATGTCTTCCACTTTCAACAGCCATGTCACATAACCAGGGCGAACTGCTGAGCAGTACACACACCCTTTGGTCGATAGCCAAGCGGAAAAAAAATAAAACATATCACGTGTACACCAGAGATAGCGTAAGTTGTCGGCAAATGCGAAACGAGTCTTATGTATCTGTGCAGAAATTTTGTCAGCGATCAACCGGCCGAGGCTGGCTGATGCAACTCTCCATATAAGTGAGGAGGTCAACACGCCCTACCGCTTCACTGCCTATCTTTAAGCTAGGAGTCAATGCAACCCAGTCTCGTAGCACCATCTTACATTTGACGGGAGCGAATCGCATGCCAAACATTCGTAGATTGCAGCTCAAGATGTTCAGAAGATTCTGCAATTTATCAGCGACCTCTCTTATAAGGACTTTATCATCTGTATATTCTAAGTCAACGAGATTATTCCCTGGTAGCAAGTCAATTCCTGAGTCTCTGAAGTGAGTTAGGGTTAAGTCCATTAGTACATCTATGATGAAATTGAATAGAAATGGGGATAATGGGCATCCCTGACGGACACCACTACTTGTCACCACTTCAGATACCAACTCACCGTAAGCCCTCAGCTGGCTGCATGAGTTCGAGTTTAGTGAGTGCGTTAATCAGTGCAACGTATTTTCTTGGCATTCCCCCCCCTTCAAAGCCGAACATTGCTAGAGTACCTCCCGGTCGACGATTGTTGGATGCTGGTAAGTATGCCTATGTTCCAGAATCTGTCGAAGGGTGAAGATATGACCGATACACCCTCTTCCTGGTCTAAAGCCTGCCTGGTTATCCCGTGTTTTTGCCTCCCGAGCACCACTTAGTCTACGCAATATTATTGAGCCTACGACTTTAGATGCTATATTAGTCAAGCTAATCCCTCTGTGATTATCGCAGGAAGACTTTTCTCCCTTCTTGTATTTGGGGATAATCAATGACTTGCACCAAAACCGACGAGACTTCCCCTTATTCCTGGACGCTACCTGGTACCTCAGTTAACGCAGACAGTAAACTGTCTCCGCCGTAATTAAAAACCTCTGAACTCATTCTATCAGGTCCTGGTGCTTCACCTCGTTTCAGATTAGCGACAGCCTTAGTAACCTCAGTTAGGGATGGAGCACCTGTGTCTATAACCCATTCAGGGAGGTGTTGGATGTTTGGAAAGTTGAGCATGGCTGTAGGCCAACTAAATTATACTACACAAACGGCAACAGATGGACTGAAATTTGAACTCCTGGCCGATTAGCTGAAGGTCGAAAGGTTAAGCCGATAGTGTCAGAATCCCAAATAACTCCAACTGTCTCGTCCAAATCATTGTGTCGATAAGTCTCCCACATGAAAATCGGCTCCACAGAAAGCGTTAGTATCCTGTTATCCATAGTGATATGGACTGAGGGAAGTCCAGGATAAACAAATCCGAAAACCACACATTCTTAAAACCTTGATGAGGGTTTACTGATCACACCATTTCTCAACAGATTTTGTTGGTGCCCATATTGTATCAAGTTCTGCAATAAACCCAAACCGATCATCAAAAGTTCCCGTCACTACTGACCAGAAGTTTACATCTGACGCTGTCGATAAGAAGACGTTGTGGTATGCTAGTTAAGTGAATGTGTCCAAATTCATTGAAAATCTTATAGAAATTTCCACCTTTTATCATGAAAGAAGTTTCCGATTCACGATATTTCCTTGTTACCAACGCTAGTATAAGTAGACAACACTGTTAATCCTTTTTGAAATTATTTTAAAACACCTTTTGTAAGTCAGTACATACCGCGTTGATGGAGGTTCACTATCGTATTATCTACGGAATTCTTCCCCGATATATGTAGGACAGCCAAACCGTTAAGTCTAACATAGAAGTCATATTAGTTTTATGCTAAGGCTCGAGCCACATTATTTTTTAGGCATAAGATAACAGATCAGTAGTTTTATAACAACTATAACAGTGAATATTTAGCAGTGTTTCACAAATTATGTGGCACTTGTTAACAACAAGCTTACTGATATCTAGTTTTACAGTGTTCCTTGTTGAGTGACTCCTCTGTAGTTATGTGTTTTGAAAACTATTTTGAGTTTCACCAATTGAATGGTCTCTGAAATAACTTTTCGGTACAGGAAACAGTGAACGAATTCAAACCTGTTCCTAAACTGATCCCAAACCTGACTAAATAAATCCAACTGTTTCTCTAATCCCCATTCAATTTTTAGTGAGTTACGGAATTCTACGGCCTGCATTTATTAAGTTAATGGTTCTGACGGTTAAGCTCATAAAATTCATTCCTTATGCTGTTGCTTTCAAGCTAACTGGTAAAGCCTTCTGCCACGTCGCATACAATCAAGTGAATAAGGGCAAAGTTAAACTTTAAGCATCACTAAGTACTAATCAGAGAATGACCTCGGACAAATTAATGACGTGAAGGAGGCATTTTTGTGTACGGAATACATACATTTATGATATAATGCATAAAACATGTAGAAAAGTATTACAGAGGATACGTTGCTTGCACATGTGATAAAAACTTTTATCATGTGCTATGAATAGCTCTCAGTTTCGAGTATCAGCAGAGTATAATTCCATTGTGGGTAATATTTCCTGGACAATAAAATTTGCTCGAAACTTCATCAGTAAATATTACTGCGTAACACTGTGAGACTTTATCTAAATACATGTTACCCACAGTGGAATTATACTCTACCACAGTGCACAAGTTCTATTTTGATATCAACAGAGTAACTCAACCACATTCTATGCATGCAATTATTAGAGCCTTCTAACAATAACAATAACCCTGATCTTTCCTGAACCTAACCCTAATGTGAAAATATCCCTAAACTAACAGCAATCCAACTCGAACCAACCCAAATGTCCCCTTTGTTAGGTTAACCTAACCCTAACTTGTCCTTGGCTTAAACAGTAAATTAATCTTTCTCAAACCTTGGCTGAAACTTGCCAGAAATCCTATTTAATAGCATAAAACTTCGATGAGAATATTTGATTGATGATAACAACATTAATTGCCACGTTTCAATGACTTGCTCATTAGCGTTTTAAGGTTATTGGTGCAGTTGCACTCTATTGGTAGTCAGTGGTGCTTAAAGTTTAACTTCACCTGAATATGGATACAAATGGAAAACACACATTAAGGACCAACTGACCTTGACGTACGCATGAGGATCGTATAAACCACGTATGATGTCCAATATCCAATATTGTTTTTACGAGCTAGTATAAGCCAATTTGATTTCTTCTTGCCCGCTTATTGATTGTAAGGTAAAGGTTCCTGATCTTCGGTAAACTTTTACGTAGCTCGTCCCTCCACTCGACTGTCGTAGCTTTGGTTGACTCCAAGAGGAGTAGTGCTGGGATTAATTATATGTGGTTTGTAGTATGAGGTGTGTTAAGGCTGTTACTGCTGTGAATGGAGTTGATCCTTTTGCCAGTTAGTCCTCCGGTATCGTCGACAAGAGAAAAGGGATAATAATGATAGAAATAATTAGTGAAGTTATTCTGACGGACAGACAGAAAAGGAAATAGGAAAGCGTAACAACAGTCAGTTGATGAAATCTGAAGAATAATATATACATATATATATATATATATTGGTAATAATTACAATATTAATAAGTTTTCAGGAGAGTAAGACTGGAGAGAATGTAAAGAATTAAAACGACAAGTTTAATTGTCTACCTCTGAATCGTGTATGCCATTTTAAGGGGATAGGCCATTTGGATGCAGTCATTGTGTCGCTGCATGGTTGTCCAGCCTTCGCTTAAAGGCGTCCAAAGATGGTGCCATAGCTACATCTGCCGGTAAGGAATTCCAGGGACGACAAACACGTAGTGGAAAGAAGTGGGAACGCACCCAGGTCCTTGCCCTCTGGTGAGTTGTCCTTCAGGGATTTCCACGTGGCAGCCTACACCTACTCAATGGCAAGACACTTTGTTTGGGTAACTCTGGTCATCTGTTACTCTGTAGGCAGTAATTAAATCCCCCCGAAGACATCGGTAGCTAATTGTGAACAGGCCTAATTTCTGCAGCCTTTCATCATATGTGAAAGCGCAATATCGCTTGAAATTAAGTCACGCGTAGATAAAAGCTATCCAAGTCCAGAACAAACAAGGAGCCGGTCAATGTATCTACGGTACTATTAAAAAACAAGTCAATAATTATATATAAAACAAACCTTAATGGTTTCAGGAGTACAAAGCACAGCGCCTAACAGAAAGCAAGGTACCGCTGTCAGAGCGGAATAACTTTAAAACCAAAATTGCGAACTAGCCGGAATCAGACACTACCGTTCAGGTAAGCAGTCAGTAGAATAATGAACCCAAGTAAGGCAAGGCATAGAACAGAGAGCGGTTAAGAGAGATAGACAGAGCATAGACACAAGGATAGAATTTATTTGGGTACTTAACCAGGTAGGAAGATACAGATGAAGATCAATAAATAAGATAAACTCGACAGAATAGTACAAAGTAAGACATGGGTCAGCAAAAATAACAGTTCACAAAATACTCTGACTGGGTCATGAGTTCAGCTGTCTGACTAAAAAGATCGAGGTAAAATCACATACACACAGTTCATTAAACAAGGGTGGATAGACAAATTAGGCATGGATAATTGGGTTGCAACAGTGATAGGCTGATCCGGGAGAGGTTGACTTGATTCAAGGATGGGAACTAAATTCGTCTTAGAATATGGTTTATTTCGGAGACCAACCACTCCTTTTGTTGCCCGTCGTTGGACTCTTTCCAAGAGGTTGGCGTCTCTTCTCAGCATTGGGGGTGCAATAATATTATGCATCTTAAGGGATGGTCTGACGTATGTTTTGTACAACCTTAGAAAGAGCTCAGGAGTGAGTGCACCTAAATGTCTGGGAAAGAGCCCTGCAATACTGCTAATGACGCGCTGTGCGAGGATGATCAGACACTACGTAACTTCGTATAGAGTTTCCTTTCATGTGCGTAGTCCTCTTACTGTGAGAGGAGCTGCCCACTTACACCTGCCCAACTTATTTTATGTAAAATAATGTCATGCTGATTTGTATCAAATGCCTTCTTAAAGTCCAGGAAGATCCTCTGGACGGAAATTTTCATTTACCAGCATGATGTTCTGTCGTTCGTGGGTGATATTAGGTTTGTCCAGCAGGGTCTCTCTCTCCTGAAACCGCGTTGTGCTTCATGGAATCTGCGGGTCCTGTCAAGGTGCTCCTCGATGCACACAATAGTTATACCTTCCAGCACTCTTAATACCACTGGGAATAGTGCTGCTGGCGATATTTTGCCTGACTTCACCTTTGAAAATATAGGAAAGTATGGTTCTTTTTCACTCTCTTGGCAGATTTCATTTGACAGTCACGTCCAGTCAACAGTTAATGCCCAGCTCTTGCTACGCTCGGGCTCACGCTGTCGCTTGAAGTTTCTCAGAAACGCTTAGTGATAACGGACGAAAAAACCAAAACACCAATTGTTGACTTGAGGATTCTGTATTGTTACACCAACATATAAATCAAGTATGACTAAGGTCTGTGAACAAATATTACAATAATAAATCATAATATTACTTCTGACGATGTTTTACTCTTCTTTCTGAACAGCGACCGATGAGACGATGACTGTCGTATTGATGCCTCCGCGAAAATTGGGGAAGTTGATTTTGAGCAAACAACCAAGAATTGATCGTTCAATCTTCAACTCCATTGACACTCCCCGGCAAAAAAGGGATCCAACCCTTTTTTCCTTCACGACCAATACACGTTGACTTGGATGCCATTGAGAGAACCTGGGTCACTCGGACAGAGCTGAAATGGAAAACAAACAGAAAAGCCAACACACCACAAGCATACTCACAGCACAATCTCACACATCGCTGACGACCTGCGCCTCCAGACAGAGACCTCCTCTTGACATCTTGCAACACAATCGCCACTTGCTAGAATGACTCTTGCAGAATGCAACGTGACCATAGCACCAACTCATGATACTCTACACACATCCTCCTATCTACTCACTACCAATTACCACTGCAATCGCTTGTCACTCATTCTGCCTCACTTCTAGTAGCGGTGACGCATGCGAGCCTCAGTCGTTTACACTCTTTCTCCCCGGCGTGTCGGACCGCAGCTAACAATTATCTCCGTGTGCATTTCATTCTCAGCAATAGCCTAGCCTCCCCGGCGTATACGACCCATCTGCTGTCCTTAACATCAATCAATTCATTCATGGATGTAGAAGACTCGAAACAACTTCAGAAGTAATCACGACGAAAATTTTAACAAAATTACGCAATAACAACAAGACACGAAAACAACGAGTAAACACAATGAATCCGAAACACCACCAATTGATATGACACACCACACGTATATACAAACTGTACACACAAACTCGCAGTTCATGTCTTGATGGAATTCCTTTGAAGAATCGCAGGACTTACAGCAGTACGCCTACAACCCTTCACAGGTTGACGATTGTAAGTTGTGGAATGTCCGGACACAAACAAGATTAACCAACAATTACAATAATTGGAACTCACACAATTATTTTACACATACATATGTACAATCAACACATCAAATGTTGTGGATTCTGGTACAACGAACTACACTTGAAGAACTGTAGGACTTACAGCAGCACGCCTACATTCCTTCTCAGGTTGATGACACAAGCGGAAGTCGTCCGGACACAAACAGAATTACCAACAGACAGATGATATCAATTCAGTATGTACAATATGAACATATGTACAAAATCACACACCAAACACATTGTACTGCTCATTGATGCGCTACCCTTTGGAGAATTGTAGGACTTACAGCAGTACGCCTACAACCCTTCTCAGGTTGACGCTCTAGGTTGGAAAATCGTCGCAGAGTTCATTTGCTAACTTCCTTCTATGAGCTATATCCTCAAATCTGAACGGCAACACACCCATGTCATTGTATCGTAGAATATAGATGACGAACAAACACACGACCTATCTGGTCAACCAAGTGTAGAAACAGAGTAATTTACACCAAAGATAATAACATTCAAATAGTAACTTGAAACTAGAAATGCCTTTATTCGTGCAAGTCAATTTAACAATTACTCTCTCGTTTACACTTGGCTTATCCTCTCTAAACTGAGCAATATCTTTCGTCCTTTCAAATGCACCAATACTATCATAGTCATTGCACAAGATACTGGAGTTGATGGGCGTCTGTTTCATTGTGGATGACAGCACCAACGACGACTGATTGATATCAGTTGATGAAGTTAGCGGTGGATCAGAAGCTGTTGTTGCTCGACTTTCAGAAATTTGTCTACCTGCAAGACCACCACCACTGGTGTCTTTTACTATCAGCTCAGGCTTAGCACTGGCATCTGATGATAGGTGGGCTACATGCTGATCAATCACACTGACGGTCTCACAAGTATGCGTGCCTTCTGCAACTGCATCTGCATTTATTTCTACTTCACGTTCAAGTTGTACAGAACCTTTGTTCAACTTAGCAGTAGTAGGCATATCCCTCATCTCATAATGATCAACCAAAGACAACTGTGAAGTATCATGATCATTATCACGAATATTCACTTTACCGTCAACTTCATCATTTTCAAACTCTTTAATAACAGAAGTAGACAATTTTGGTTCCTCCACGCAAATCATAAAAGGTTTTATAACTTCACTCTGACTAGTAATACCTTGTAAACTTGTAGGGTCAGAACTGCACTCTGAAGCAGCAACTCTATTCTGTGACACTCTATTCAACAATGGCTTACCAGTTGCAACTACAGACTTCCTGACCGCACCGTTATCGTCACACAATTCGGAGTCAGGCCTGGAGTTTACATTTAGCTTATCACTGAACTTGCTCACTGGTTCACAGTTCACCTTTGTATGCACCTCTTGAAAACGTGTAAAACACAACCGTGTTTGTCTTCCATCTTGTAACTTATCTGTTGAGGATGTACTACGAAACCTGTTACACTCACTAAGTCTATATGCATTACTGGACATCATGGAGCCTTCTCGATATCCACCTCTCTGAGGCCCATTCGTCATCAATGATTGCATTTTACCCTCAGACTGCTCTATTCTAGGGGTGAGATTCAATATACTGGCGAACTTGCTCATAGATTGATTGACACTAGTATTTACCAGTTTCAGGATATCATCAAACTTTGGCTCGATACCCTCATCCTCCATACGGGAGCTTATCTTCACCCACTTCCTTTGCAGTCGAGTAGGTAGGCGT